GGAAACTTTGAGTCCAAAACGTTCTCTTCCTGAGGGGGAGGATATAGCTCAGTGGTAGAGTAGGTGCTGAGGTCCTGGGTTCAATCCCCGGTACCTCCATTTAAAGGAAGAAAGAAAGAAACCTAATTACCTGCCACCCTCATCCCACAGAAAAAAAAAAAGTCTCTTCCTTCTCTAAAGTCTTATTACACTTGAAGAATTTCCTGAACCATGTTTTTTTTCACTCATTAAATGTACAGCTGAATACTCTTTCAAATTAAATGCATTCAGTATTTTGTAGAAACCCTCTTTGTCTTAAAAAAAATAAATCCACAGATCAGGACAAATTTTCCTGTAATGGATTCAGAGAGGTGATGTGAACCGGTTCAGATAGCTTTCTCCTCACTTAGCCATTTCCCAAACTTGGATCCAAGATCACAGGGATAAAGCAGTGGGGGTCCCTCCTGGCTCCATCCATGGCAGGAAATAGACATGCTCCTCTTAGCTGACACTTTCCTCTCTGATCCCCTCTGAGGTCTTTAATAAAATTCCAAAAGGGCCGTGCCTCTGCGGTGTGCCTCTCCACCGTGTTGATGAGGCAGCTCATTCCCTAAGTAACTATTAAAACAGTAGCTAACTCCGCTGTGGAGGCACTTCGACAGGCTTTGAGACTGAGCAAAGTAGAGTTTGCTGCCTTTTTGCTAGGCAGGTGGCCTTTAGAAAGGCCATTAAGCCCTCTGAGCCTATGAAATGGGGGTCCTTGAAGGATCAGCAATAATGCTATTATGCCAGGCATCTAATGGGTACTCAAAAGATGGAAGCTATTATAATTATTAGACGTGAACCCAATAAAAAATATGAAAAACCAACTTTTTTTTAACCTATGGCCAATTTTAAAAACGCACACAAATGTTTATGGTCTTATGTAAGAGGCCTCCTCCTCTTCCTTCATTTTCTTCTTTTAATCCCTTTAAGAAGTAAACATTGTAATTATGATTATCTGCTGTTACAGCTTGAATGCTTGTGTCCCCCACCCAAATTCGTATGTTGAAAAAAAGCCTATGAATGCCCAAAGGGATGATATCAGGGGGTCTTGGGGAGGAGGGTGATTAGGTCATGAGGGTACAGTCATCATGAATGGGATCAGTGCACCTAAGAAAGCTGCTTGAATAGCTCCCTTGGCCCTTCTACCACACAAAGACACGGCAAAAAGATGAACATTGTTGGACCAGACAGCGGGCCCACATCAGACACTGAATCTGCCAGTGCCTTGATCATGGACCTCAGCCTCCAGAACTATGAGAAATTTCTGTTCTCAATAAGCCATCCGATCTATGGTATTTTGTTACAGGAGCCCAAACAGACTCAGATACCTACTTTATAAAACAGACACAGGTCTGCGAGAAAATCAGCACTGCTGTTTAGCTTCTAAAGACGCCTGCTCACATCCAGGCATATTGAAAAAGAAGCAACATGAAGACAACTTTCTCATGTTTAGCCCTGAAATTATTAATCTCGGGCTGAATCAGAGAGCTGGAGGCCACAGGAGGTCTTGTGCTAGTGGCTGCTGTCCATCATGTAAGAAAAACCTAAGGTATTCCTGGGAGATTTTACTACACTCGTAGGATGTCAAAGATGATCTTTTTTCCCTCAAGAGACACCAGAGAAACCATCCCTGCGTGGCACAGTGATGGAGCCCAAAGAAAATCTGGACTCTAGATGCTCAGATCTCTTTTTGCTACCTCCCATCCATCAGTTTAAAGGCATTACTGAGCAACCCTTGGGCACTAGCTATGTGCTTCTTGAGGGTGGAAAGCAGAAGGAGAAGGGGCCCCAGCCCTGCAGGGGTTCACAGGATGCAGAAGCAAGAGTTACCCACAGACAGCCACAAAGGAACAGCTCAAGACCTTTATGATCCAAAACTCGAGGGACACCCAGGCTCTAAGTAAGCTCCATACTACAGGAGGTGTATTTGCTTTGCTCACTCTTCCATCTCTAGCCCCTACAACAGTCTGGCTGAGAAGCATATATAATTCTTAATACAATTAATGGACTCTGGAGCCACAGTAGCTGGAATTGAATCGCAGGTCACCCAAGGAATAGCTGTGCAAACTTGGGCAAGTTACTTAGTGTCTCTGTGCCAGTCACAACCTTCCCAAAGGTAAAGCATCAATAGTATTGCAAAAGATGAAATCAGATAACCCAGTGTAAACTAATATTTCTAAATGTCAGCACAGAGTAAGTACTCAGAGGACGTTAGTCATAATTATTATATAAGTAATCACACTATGAAAGAAAAATTATTATTTGATGAACATTTATGTATACCTACTTGATGCCATTAAATGATATTTGATGAATGAATGGATGGATGAATTAATGCAACTGAAATGAGAGAATAAAGGGAGTTTTGCAGGCTGATGAGCTCAGGGAAGGTTTCAGAGTAGAGGCCAGACCTGAGCTAGCATTTAAGGAAGTGTAGGCTCTGACTAGGATGAAAGAGGAAGAAACAAAAATGTTTACACTTTCAAAAGATCTATTGAACAAAAACATGTTTAACGCCAATTATTATTTTTGTTTGCAAAATATTGGAAACAGCCTAAATAGCCACTAAGACAATCAAATACAATTTGATGAATTCATAAAATGAACCACTTTGACTCCATTAAAATGATACTTTCAAACAATACATAATGACGAATATGCTCAAATAATAATGTTACCCCCCCAAACCACACACATTATAGGCAATTTGCATATAAAAAGAAGAAAAGGAAATTACCAAAATGTTAGAAGGAAGGACTATGGATCATTTTGTTTCAATCAACCTTTTTTAATTTTTCAAATTGTCTACACTGGGCATGTATTATTTTAATACTTTGTTTTTAACTGTGGTAATGGAGAATATAAAATCGACCATTCTGACCATTTTCAGGTCTATAGTTTGTTTCTCTTAATTTTTTTTAATGGGAGGGAGGTAATTTTAGGATTTATTTGTTTGTTCATCTATTTATTTTAAACAGAGGTAGTGGGGATTGAACCCAGGACTTCGTGCATGCTAGGCATGCAGTCTACCACTGAGCTATGTACAGTTCAATTAATAATTTTTTTTTCATGTCTTCTGGTATTTTTCTCAGGTGAAGAAGGTTCCCAGGCCTGGGACCCTGTCCGCAGAGCCATCATCTCAGGGTAGCCCAATCAATACCATGGATGGAAACATGGCCTCTGTTGTGCCCAAACACCCAGCCCCTCTGCCCTGGTAAACACCATCATGATTTTGGAGCATGTAGCTGCCTGCTGAGGGTTGGCACTTTTGTCCTCCAGTGTGGGGAATCTTTCTTCCCTCAAGTCAGAGTGTGAACTGGCTTGTCATGTCTGGACAGTGAGGGGCCTCCCCCATTCTCTATCCTCTTCAATTTGTCTGTGACACTGGTCCACCAAATACGGTTTTCAGGCATTGCTTCCAAAGCTCTCCAATCAGTGGAGTCCCTCTTGGGCTCCAGAACCCCCTTCCCTGACCGGAATTCCTTTGTGCCTCCTGGAAAGTATAAAAAGCAGGAATGTGGAGACTCTTCACCTAGTTCTGAAGGCTTGGCCTCATGCTGCAGCTTGCATAATGAATCACCGCACAAAGGAGAGAGAACACCTTGTGTAACAGAAGCCTGGCCAGAGGGAAGACTACCTGGCCACAGGCCTGTGTGTCTGCTGCATGCCCAGGTCCAAGGGGGAAATGCCAGCCTTGAGGTGGCCCTTCAGTTTTCCTGTGATTCTGCCATTTCTTATATCCATGCTCTTGTGTATTCTGGAAATTAAGCCCTTGTTGGTCACATTGTTTGAAAATATTTTCTCCTAGTCTGTAGGCTGCCTTTTCATTTTGTTTATGGTTTCCTTTGCTGGCAAAAGCTTATACATTTGATTAGGTCCCATTTGTTTATTTTTGCTTTTATTTCTATTACCTAAGGAGACTGACCTAAGAAAACAGTGCTGTGATTTACATCAGAGAATGTTTTGCCTTTGTTCACCTCTAGGATTTTTATGGTGTCTTGACTTATGTTTAAGTCTTTAAGCCGTTTTGAGTTTATTTTTGTGTATGGTGTGAGACAGCGTTCTAACTTCAATGATTTACATGCAGCTGTCCAGCTTTCCTAACACCACTTGCTGAAGAGATTGTCTTTTCTCCATTGTATATTCTTGCCTCCTTTGTCAAAGATTAATTGACCATAGATGTGTGGGTTTATTTCTGGTCTATTCTGTTACATTGAACAATATATCTGTTTTTATGCCAACACCATGCTGTTTTGATTATTGCAGCTTTATAGTATTGTTTGATGTCTGGAAGGATTATGCCTCCAGCTTTGTTCTTTTTCCTCAGGATTGCTTTGACAATTCTGGGTCTTTCATGGTTCCATATGAATTTTAGAATTATTCTAGTTCTGTGAAAAATGTCCTGGATAACTTGATAGGGATCACATTAAATCTGCAGATTGCTTTGGGTAGTATGGCCATTTAAACAATATTAATTCTTCCAATCCAAGAGCATGGGATATCTTTCCATTTTTTTAAATCATCTCCAATTTTCTTTATTAATGTTTTATAATTCTTAGCATAAAATTCTTTTACCTCTTTGGTCAGGTTCATTCCTAAGTATTTTTTAATGTGACTTTTAAAAGAGATTATTTATTTACCTTCCCTTTCTGATATTTCATTGTTAGTGTAAAGAAATACAACAGATTTCTGCTACCTACTGAATTCATTTCTCAGTTCTAGTAGTTTTCTATATATAGTATCAATCATCTGCATATACCCCTTTTGATTTGGATACCTTTTACTTCTTTTTCTTGTCTGATTTCTATGGTTAGGACTTGCAATACTATGTTGAATAGAAGTGGTGAGAGTGGGCATCCTTGTCTTGTTCCAGATTTTAGCAGCCAGGCTCTGGGTTTTTCATATATAGCCTTTTTTTTCTTTTTAGGTTTTTTTTTTTGGTGGGCGAGGTAATTAGGTTTATTTATACTTTTTGAGGGAGGTATTGGGGATTGAACCCAGGACCTCATGCATGTGAGGCACACACTCTACCACTGAGCTATACCCTCCCCCATAAATAGCCTTAATTATGTTGGCATATGTTTCCTCTATACTCACTTTGGTAAGAGTTTTTATCATGAATGGATGTTGAATTTTATCAAGTGCTTTTTCTGCATCTATTGAAATGATCATGTGGTTTTAAGCTTTCTTTTGTTAATGTGATATCTAACACTGATTGATTTGCTTATGTTGAACCATCCTTGTGACCTTGGGATGAATTCAACTTGATCATGGTGTATGATTTTTTTTATGTGTTGTTGGATTCAGTTTGTTAATCTTTTGTTGAGAATTTTTGCATCTATATTCATTGAAGATATTGGCCTGTAGCTTTCTTTTTTGGTATTATCTTTGTCTGGTTTTCATATCAGGCTGGTGGTGGCTTCACAGAACGCCTTTAGGAGTGTTCTCTCCTCTTTCATCTTTTGGAAGAGTTTGAGAAGGACTGGTATGAGCTCTTCTTTGTATGTTTGTTAGAATTCCCCAGTGAAGCCATCTGGTCCTGGACTTTTGTTTGCAGGGAGTTTTCTTCACTTCATAATCTATTTCATTTCTAGTGAATGGTCTGTTCAAATTATCTATTTCTTCTTGATTCAGCTTTATAATCCTTTGGGTTTTTTTTGGTTTTTACAATTTAATGGTTTTTATAATTCCTTAACCTTAACATGGGAGCCAGACAGCAAGTAATAAGAGCAAACATTTACTGAATATTTACCATATTTACCAGCTTACTGTTCTAAGCTCTATACAAATATCAATTTATTTAATCCTGTCATAACCCCATAAACTAGAGTCTATTATGAGCCCCATTTTACAGAGGAAATGAAACACAGAAGTTAACTACCCAAAGCCCCAAAGACAGCAAGTCATGAAATCAGAATTTAAACCCAGGCTGTCTGGCTTCCCAGCTCATGTACTTCACCCCACCCTTCCTTACAGCTCATGAGCATGGGAAGTGGCCAGGGCAAGATAATAAGGGATGAGCAGAAATCCCAAAAATGAGAGTGGGGACGCCCCTATCTCCACCAAGGCATTGAGCTTCTATTTCTTTAAATAAACTTAGTGCAGCCAAGTAGAGCCCCTTTGAGGGTCAATGTGCAGCCTGCTGGGCCCAGGTTGGGCCCTGCTTTAGAGCGGTTTAAGGAAGCAGCCAGTATCCCAACATCCCTTGTGGTGAAGCAACATTCATCTGAACATCAGCAGTCCCTTAGATTACGCTAGGTTTTTAAAAATTTATTGTTGTTGCTGTTGTTGTTTTCCTTATAAACAACAGATTATGGAATATAACCTGATGGCTATTTTTGTTTGTTTGTGTATTATTCTGACATATAGGTCCACTGGGAAATATCTATAAATCATGCTCACAAGTAATTTACTTTTCTGAACTGTGGGAGTTGGGTCATTTTTTGCTTTCTTCCTGGTAATTTTCTATAGAATATATAGCACTTGGGTAAAAAGAAAAAAAATTGAAAAAAAAAAAATGAAGAACTTGTGTGAGTTCACATGGCTTGAAGTTGGGATATGAACTCATGTCTCCTACACTTTAAGAACCACACAGTTAATCATTTTGTTTTCTTACCTCCCACACCCTGGAGTAAAGGAACTCAAAGTCTTAATGTGAGTAATAGGTAAATATACTAGAAATGATGATGTATTTGAAGTGCCTGACACTGTGTCCAGCAAATAATAAATAGTCAATAAATATTTGTGGTTATCATAATGGTAATTATTATTATCATTCACTGCTACTATAGTACCTTATTATAAATGCTATAATGAAATAAGTATATGATGGTATGAAAACGTAGAGGGCAAAATCCTGCTAACCCAAAAATGTAGTCAAGGAATGCTTCCTGGAAGAGGTGATGGAAGGTGACTTTTAAAGAGTAAGACTTAGCCAGGTAAGAGGTGAGGAAAGCAGGGCCTTCCATGCAAGGGAAGAGCATGATGGATTAAAATAACTGGTGGTGCTGGATTGAATGGCATGTGTAAATGTGGCTGGAGAATAAGTGGGAAAGGTAAGTCACTGTTAGATCAGAGATGACCTCCTATGCCACACTATGCTTAGGAATTTGGACTGTTTAAAGTCCAAGGGAACCCCCTAAAGGGTTCAAAGCAGAGGAATGTCTCAGTAACATATGCCTTTCTAAGACCGTATTGGCTGCCATGTGGAGGACTGGTTGGAAGAGACAACTCTAGAAACTGGGTGCTGGTTATGGTAATTGCAATAGTCCGAAGAACTGACGGGCCCTAAGGCAGTGGCAGTTGGTGGAGAGATGTCCAGGGCCGTGCTTCTCAAAGTGTGGTCCACAGACCAGTAGGGGTCCCTGAAGCCCTTTCGGGGGAAATTTTGAGATCAAAACTATTTTCACAATAACATTAAGGCAATATTTGGCTTTTTCACTGTGTTGACGTTTGCACTGATAAAACAAAAGCAAGGATAGGTAAAACTGCTGGTGTTAGGACAATCAAAACTTCACTGAAGTCCACTAACAGTCACACATTCTTCACCACCATGCACCCACAGAGAAGAACAAGTCAATTTCTCTTTAAAATGTCCATGATGAAGCAATAAACATTACTGATTTCATTAACTCTTGACCTTTGTGTTCACCCCTTTCTAATTAACACTCATGTGATGCAAGAGGAAGCATACATAAACCACTTCAGTTGCAGTAAGAAATATAATTGTTGCCTCAAAGAAAATTACTTTTGCAAGTGAGTTGCAAGCCAGACTGACCACTTTTTTCATGGAACACTATTTCCACCTAAAAAAAAACAAAAAAAACAAAAAAAACTAGTAAACTCATGTTATTCAGATTTGAATACTGGGGAGACATTTTCTTGAAATAAACAAAGTAAAACTGCCACTTCAGGGAAAACAACTTTTTCTTGTTTTTGTTTTAGTATTTGTTACTAGGTGTGCTTATTGCTGATGCTGGAATTTGAGTTTTCAGGCAAAAATTAGAACTCTGGAAAACTTGTTTCCACCACTGTGAATGTGACAGCTTCCCAATTCTTTAAGATTTTTCTGATGCAGTTGTTGCTCTGGGTTGAACTGTTCCCCCGCCCCCCCCCAAAAAAACATGTTAAAGTTCTATTCTTGGTACCTGTGAACATGAGCTTTTTTGGAAATAGGGCCTTTGCAGATGTGAGGTTAAGAGGAGGTCATACTGGATTAAGATGGGCTCTAAGTCTGATGACTGGTGTCCTTAAGTAAAAAGAATTTGGATAAACAGGCACAGACAAACATATGAAAGGAGGCCACGTGAAGATGGAGGGAGAGATTGAAGCGATGCAAGTACAAACCGAGAAACGTCTGTTCAGCAGCCAGGTTGCAGTGCTTTGTTACAGCAGCCCTAGGAAACTAATACAGTGGTGCTAACATCAAATGTGATTATTGGCATTGCAGAGGGAAATGTGTCAACATCTGAAAGATGTGTATTACTCAGTGAAGCAATATTTCTGAAAGCTCGATGTATAATGTCACAAAATCATGGATGGCTGAAAGACACATCTGAAGTGTAAAATAACCAATAGATTTTAATAAAACAGTACAAAAAGTTTACTGTAAGGTTTCAGAATTCACACTGCTGTGAACCTTTAAGAAAGTAACTGTTGTGCTCTGGTGTAGTATCAAAGAAAACTATCTACAATTATCTGAAAAAGTTATTAAGGCACGTACACACTCAGGACCCCGCAGGACAGCGGAGGTAGAGGTTAGGGTGATGTGGCCACAAGCCCAAGAAAGTCTGGAGCCCCCAGCAGCTGGGAGAGGCAGAAAGGACCCTCCCCTGGCCCCTGTGACACCCTGATGTCAGAATCCTGGCCCCAGAGCTGGGAGAGAGTACATTTATGTTGTTTTAGACCCTCAACCCCCACAAAAAAACCTCACTTTTCTATCTACTTACCAGTGTGAAGCTGGATTTTCTCCGTCTACTTCAACTAAAATGATACATTGCAACAGACTGAATACAAAAGCAGATACGGGAATCCAGCTCTCTTCTGTTACGCCAGACGTTAAAGAGATTTGCAAAAATCTAAAACAATGCAACTCTTCTCATTAGTTTTTTTGTTTGTTTGTTTCGGAAAATGGAATTATTTTCATAAAAATGTTTTATTCATGTTAATGTGATGGGGCTACTGTTATTTTAAATAAACATTTCAAAATTTCTCAGTTTTAATTTCTAATACACTAACTATCTCTAAATACAGCTCATAGACATAGAAACTTTGGGGGTCCTCAATGATTTTTAAGAGTGTAAAAGGATTTGGAGACCCCAAAATGTCACTAGTTTAAGAGGTAGAAACAATAGGATTTGGCAAATGATTGGTGGGGATTGAGAGAGAAGAGTTTTCTCCCGATGGGGAGAAAAGAGCAGGCTTTTAAGGAGCGATGGTGTGTTCAGTCTTGGAAATGCTGAGTTTAGGTTGCCTGAGGGGTGCTGTGGTGGGACAGACCATTAAGCAAAGATCTGTGGGTTGGAATACAGCTGTCTGAATATAGTGAGTTCATACAGCTGCCGTAATTGAAGGCCCAGGAAAGAACAGTGTTCCGAAAGGAAAGAATTGCCCTGAGAAGAGGGCCCAGGATGGAGTCCAAGCTGACCCCAATCTGAGACACAGCGTGAGAGCCAGCTTGAAACCAATCTGAGTCAGAAAGAGCATCCAAGGGCAAGAGAAACCTCGCAGAAAGGGATGTCAGAGAAAGAGAGCAAGACAGAATTTTCAAGAAGAAAGGGGTCAATGGCAGCAAATGTATAAAGATACCCACCGGGTTGTTACTGACCAGCTACGAGCAGTTCTAGGAAATAGGAGAAGTCGTGGAGCAGCAGGGATGGGCTGCTCTTTAACGAGCTTGAGGTCAGGTGGAAGTTAGGAGAGTCATATGTGTGTAGGAGGATGGCCAGAGGAGAAGCAGAAATTCAAAATCCAGGGAAGTGACATATAAGCCATAGGACAAGATCCCCCAAGAAGGCCATAGGGTAGGATTTTCCAGTGCTCAGGAGAC